CTAAATAAACTTGAGCGACTCCAAAACTTCTGTAACAGATTTATATTTGGCTTGCGCAAATATGATCACGTTTCTAATTTTCGCTCTAAGCTCAAGTGGCTTCCCATTAGGCTTCGCCGGAATACACACATACTAGCATTCCTTTACAATATTTTGTTTAATCCATTTTCCCCGCGCTATCTCAAAGAACTTTTTAAGTTTCAACAAAATTCCTTATCGCTTTCCCTTAGGTCATCAGAAAATCTGACCCTCACGATGCCTGTTCACCGCACTAGCTATTATGACCATTCCTTTACTATACAAGCTGTTCGGTTTTGGAACTCGTTGCCTACTAATATCAGACGTGCTCAGTCTTTGAATATATTCAAAGACCAGCTCAAACACTTTTATCTTCCGCAGTGAATCTGATTTTTCTGTGTAAATGTTATGTATTTGTATGTGTGTATGTGTGTGTGTGTATGTGTATATGTTCTTGAATGTATTTTTATTTTTAAATTGAAATACTTTGATAGATAGATAGATAGATAGATAGATAATTCTTTATTGTACACACCACATTATAAATACAAAATTAGGACAATAATTTAAAAAGGCGGACAATTGGCGGTCTTATGGCTATGTAGCCATTTCTTCCAGACAACCATAGGATGGAGAGTCGAAATTCAATTAAAGAGGGGGTGTGCAATTACAAAATTAAAATAGAAAAAAAAAGGAAAACAAAATATAACCATGATAAAAATTACTGTTCATAACATAAAACAGAAACTGATAAAAAAAAAAAACAAGTAAACAAATAAAAACATACATCGGTACATAAAATAAAATACACAAGTACGTACGTAGAACATACGCAATAACAATAGGTTTGTGTAGTCCGAACGGAGCGCAAACAGTCATGCATTCGCCGTGGGATCGTGATACAGACTGGTGCGCGCGGCTACTGAACGGCCGGCGCAGGAGTCGGTTACGCGAACAAAAGAATTTAACTAGGAACTCGTTTAGAGTGCGCGTGTCCATTCCGAACTTACGACAAATTGGCACGTCATTATAAATAGATATTTAATATGGTAATTTAATGTTTTTGTGAATATTTGTTTATATATAATATAATTATGTATATTTAATATGTATAATATTTTGTTATATATGATATGTATGTTATTTATAATTATGTATATTATTTTTATTTATTAGTATATGTGGAAAATAATATAATGTTGCCACATGATCAATGAATGAGCTGAATGAGTTGAATGAGCTTACTTGGGTATGTACAAGACGTTCAAGTGCCTTAGATAGGAAAGGAAGTATAGAAATGGGACGGAATTCGGTGACAGATGTTGGATTAGGCTTTTTAGGTAAAGGGATAATTTGAGCGTCTTTCCATGCGGAAGGGAAATCACCCTCGGTCAAGGAACAATTAAAAATGAAGGAAATCACTGAAAGAATGAAATCAAGGATCGGCATCAACATATTGCGACTAATTCCGTCACTACCGACAGCATTAGAGGTGATTGACAAAATGCTCCTTTTAACATCACAATCCGATAATCGAGTAAAGACAAATGGAGGAACGTCAGGCAATGTTAAAGAAGAAAGGTAATTAATGGTCTTAGTTTTGTCAGTATTACTAATTCCAGATGATGAAGAAAAGTGAAGATTGCGAGAGTCAATATTGATATTATTTGGAACAGTCTCTTTACGAGCTTTACCAATGCCAAGTGACCTGAGGAACTTCCAAACCTTCGCAGGCTCCTCATTTTCGACAGAAGGATGAATATGACGGCGTATGGCGTCCCTACTTGTATTTTTCTTTATTTTTGTCATTAGGATATTGCTTACATCTACATTTGGTAGCAGTTTTGTGGTGAATTAACTTTTTAATATCCTCGATAAGCCATGGCGCGGGAAGGTGTTTGATTTTGATAGAGCGAAAAGGTGCATGTTTATCGTATAGTTCTACGACTGTTGAAAAATGCAACCTGTTCGTCTAAGGTTTCAGCATTGTATATAGGAGACCAGTCAATACCGCGCGCATCTTCAAGAAAAGGTCCCTGCTTCATACCACTAAAATTGCGCTGAAGAATAACTTTACGTTTTGCTTTAGGAGGGCGGATTTTATATGATAAAAACACCAAGTCGTGATAAGAAAAGGCATCCGCTGGGCATTGACCATGCTTTGCAACATGTTGAGGAGATGAAACGATAAGAAGGTCAAGAAGAGAAGGAGAGCAGTTCGGAAAATGATGAGTGGGACCAAGCGGAAGAATGTGCAAATTTGCAGAATTAATAATGGCACTGAGAGTAGTAGAGCGACTGTCATTCTTGAGCAGGCATTTATTGAAATCACCCATGATGATGGAATGGCTGTAAGAAGGAATAAAATCTTCAAGAAGATTTTCAAAAGAAGTAAAGTAATTTACACGGAGCGATGGACTATAATACACCCCAAGCAATATTTTGGTGTATGACAACTCAACCTCAATTAGTAAATGCTCTCCGGCGTTTAACGGTGGCGGTTGGGAGGAGGTGCTGAGAACAGAGAAAGGAATGTGGTCACGAAGATAAATAGCAACTCCACCTCCAGCTGCACCTAATCGATCATTCCGTATGAGACGAAAACCGGGAAGAGCGTACGAAGAGGAAGGTAAACACGGCTTTAGCCATGATTCCGATACCAATACAGCCTGAAGATTTTTGTTAATATTAAAAGACTCCAACAAGTCCGTATAATGGGCCGGAATACTTTGCGCATTAATGTGAATGACGTTGAAATTCTTAGGTGAATCAGAAAAGTGACCCTGAAGAGTATCAGCAAGCGAAGGCAGGCTAGAATAGCTATCATTACTACTACACGAGCTATTTGGGGAAAGTGATAAAAAACTACAGTCGTTGCTATCAGAAGAATCAGACATTACTATGTATACTCAAAAATATAATAAGATATTATAAAATAAATAAAATCAAAATGACTCTAATTAATAAAAATTAAAGCTAGCTACTCCCACTAATTAGCTACTAGCTAGCTAATTAGTCCACCCCCGCCCCCCTCGTTACCCTCCATTCCTAAGGGTCACTACTTCTAATTTCTGCTATTTACACTAAGTTTTAAGCAAAAATAACTAAAATTGTAAATGAAATTAATAAAAACTTAAAATGCACGCGCGCTCTTTTTGGAGTTCCCGCCCAAAAAAAACCCCGTACCCCTACATAGGACTAAGACACACAGATTACTAAGATTATGTCTATGACAGGCAAACAGAACCTAACTAACAATAAACCATTCTAACTATTTCTATGTTATATACTTAAAATGGTTGAAAAGAAAACATCTCGAAGCCATTTGGTTGCCCAAAACCAAAATACAGTAAGCCACATTTGTAAAATTTTACAGGACGAGCAGAACTGTGTTTTTGCATATCTTTAAATTATTTAAACGTAGTGTAATAAAGTGTTACGCATCAATCAAAGCGTAATTTATTGAGTTTTTTTTAGTTTTTTTTTACTCATTTAAAACGCTTTAGCATTAAAAAAAATACAAAATACATCAATATTTGACCTAGTCCGGAACAAATCCTTGTTCTTTCTGTTAGTACCGGATTGAAAACTAACACAAAATATAGTATCTCTTTTTCTAGCCGTTACTAGGTTATGGTCTTTTTTTTCTAAATAAATTATCATTTAATTTAACACTAAGTAACTTGCTTAGACATGCACTCACGTTTATGTGCCCATTTTGAATTTTCATCCCTTTTACCGTTGATTGAGCGACTTTTTCTTTACCTATTTAACTGCTCTACTTTGTGCTGTTTCTGTTTCATATTTAACCAACTTTTTCCAACCTTCTTTTTTATTGACTCATTGGTTGGTCTATGGTTGGAACTTTAAGTAATAAAATCCGGAGCCGGTATAAAAAAAAACAACGTTTTTGGCGGGATTTCATCGAGTGTGGTTGGCGTATTATTTTAATTATTCTTAAATTCGTTCATAGTGGATATTGTGAAATAAAATTGGTGTGATTTTGTGTTACAACTGTCTGCGTAACTGAAGAATTAGTAGAATCGTCAAAATATACGCTATTCCTGTCAAGTGGACGTGAGAATTTTATTGTAGTATTGGCTACCTCACAGAAGCTTATCGAAAAAGCCAGCTCTATACATTTCGTGCCAAACACTTCAAGAAACATTAGAATGCGTCACACCGACATTCTAATGTAAAAAGAAAAACAGAATAATTTAACTTAAGACTAGGCTGTATGGGCGAAGGGGAACAATCCCTTGCCTTCCCTGAAAAGGGAGAACTAAACCAAAAAAATAAAATAAAAAAAACAACTGTATGCGGATTAAGCGCGGGATTATATTCGTTGTCATTTTTCTACGTGTAAAGCTCATCAGTATTACAATTTTGGCGCTAATCATGCAAATCTATATTGATTGGTAAGTTGAATTTATACGCTAATAATAAAATAAAGCTCCTACCTTTACAAATAACTTTAAATTGTAGTTTTAATTAATTACCAACATGACGGCAAGTGGCACTGACATCTAAGATTAGTATTATTCTTATTTTTTTTTTTGGTAAGGCAAAGAATGCTTAGTTTATACTTCCAGATAGCTTTTATTTTTTATAGTTTTTAGTTACATAAAATACAACTTAAAGAACCTTTAAAGACAATCTGCAACCTAATAGTACTCACTTAAAACTTAACCGAGTTAAGAAACAAAATTCTGACAATGGGGTCGATTCTGGCATGAATTACTTAAAATTAAATTAAAAACATCAATCTGTCTTCTTCATTTTATATAGAGAATGAAAAAGATACACTGTTATCAAATTAAATTTTAGGTTTGGTAAATCTACACCAATTGCAATGATACTGTTAAAAAGAAATAGCACAAGAAAATGATTTTTGTTCGGTTGAATTGACTTTCAATGATAGTCCTTTGCCTTCACTTAAAATCATAAAAGAAAACAGTCAAAATCAAATTGACATTGAAAAAGGAAATTGCCTGGATGGAAGGAAAGAGTTTGCCAAAGTAGATTTATTTATATTTATAAAAAAACTTATTTTTTAATCTTAAAATCCAATACTTGGAAATTGCCTTTCTACAAATATTTAGTGTATAGACATCATTACTCATACAAAAATTTGTTATCGTTATTTAATTTTTTTACTTGTTCATGTATACTTGTTCACACACCGTATACTTGTTCATGTATTGTGAATAAAAATATTACGGCACCCTGAAGTTACAAATAATTAAAAAGGTATGTATTGTAAAAAAATATTTTCGCAATGAAATAGAAACTTACGCTTTTTTTTATATTAACTTTCTTTCTATCTAATATTTTATGTTTCAGTGTAGCTATAAGATAAGAAAATGGGACCTCCAAAAAAATTCAAAAAATATGATTCAAAGCCTAGTAGTGATAGATCAGGTAAAACATATGATTGTTACAATGAATGCAGCTATAAGCATTGTCATTTATTTCTTGAATTAATATTATACCAATTTATGTTACAGTGCTTTTTGAATGCAATTTGTAGGTATTGTGGGATATTGAACTGATATTTCTATTAACATTTCTCTTGTTAAGCTTACTGACTTTGCATATAGCAAAAAAAAAGGTCATAGACATGGGTGTAGCTATGGGAGATTAAGAAACCTTTCTGCCCATCCTAATATTTGAGTTTTAAATAGTTCAACTGGACAGCTGCCCTGGCCCCCTTAGGAAAAATTCCTAGCTATGCCAATGAGCATGGATACTTTATCAAATTGCTTTCTGTCTTTCCATGAGGAATCTCACAGAAAGATTTATATACATGTACATTAAATTTTCAGGTAAAAAGAAGAAGGTAGATGAAGATATGACCATAGATTTGGTAGATGATGATAACACAGAGAATGTTGGTGTACCTGGAGCAGCATTGCAAGATGCTGAAAAAAATGACCAAGTTCCTGAAGATGAATTTGGAGCCAAAGATTATAGGTATATCATCGCTATGAATATGAACTCTTTTATTAAAGTGAAAAAGTCTTATGCTATATTGAATTCAACAATTGAATATTTATTACAGGAGTCAAATGACACTGAAACAAGATAATGCCAGTCGTCCTTTGTGGGTGGCTCCTAATGGACATATATTTTTGGAAGCATTCTCTCCAGTTTACAAACATGCTCATGACTTCTTGATAGCCATAGCTGAACCAGTTTGCAGGTACTGCTACCATTTTGCATTTCTGCGCATAATTAATGAATTTTATATAAAATTACATGTAACTTGAAGTCTATTAATACTTACATATTGTCTGTTAAAAAAAAAATATTATTTCAGGCCTCAACACATTCATGAGTACAAGTTGACTGCATACAGTTTATATGCTGCAGTGTCAGTAGGACTTCAAACTGGAGATATCATTGAATATTTGCAGAGGCTAAGCAAATGTGCAGTACCTGCTGGCATTATTGAATTCATACAACTTTGCACACTTTCATATGGGAAAGTAAAGCTTGTATTAAAACATAACAGGTATGATTTTTATTTATGAAAAAGGTATTATGTATGAGCAAACTTCTTGACCAAATCCACAGACAAATAAACTTGTGCATTAAAGTCGAATCACAATAGCTTTGCAGTCAATAATCTTTAATTGTAATTGTAACACCAGAAACACTTGATCGCAGCCCTTTTAAGATGTCATTCAAAAATTTCATAAATGTTATGTTACCTTTTGTTTGAAGAACATTTATTGAAATTTTTTGTTTGTGGAGTGCATAGTAGAGAAAAAATTGAAGTTATTTATAAAATGATAAGTCATAATAAATCTGGAAAAGAACAAATGGAGTAGGTTCTTATGAAAAAAGAGCAATGTTATAAAGAAATCCTAACCTCAACGAGTGAGTTTCAATTAATTTCTTGATACATATATGTAGTTTGTTTTTGTATTGCTATTTTTTATTTACATTTTAACAGTTGCTTTAAATACCTTCATATCTAAAAAAAAATTACACTGATTGAAAATTGTTTTCTTATAGGTACTTTACCTGTAGATAATCATATAATAATAGGAAATGCTTTGCAAAGTTGACTATATACGAGAAAGGAATGAGGTTGAGTAGAGATATTGACAATGTAGAGGTTAAATGTCAAGAAGAAAAGAAAGTTAAGAAGGACATTAATATGAAGGAATTAACGTTTTCCATTTGGATCTATCCTTCAGTGATTAATAGAGAAGTCTTAAATTTTTGAGAAAATTTATTTTCCTTTTATCAATCGAATAAAACTGATTTTTACCAAATTTTTAACCTTTTATAAGCCAGTTTCATCTCACAAATGGAACCATCTTACTAAAAAACTGATTTAAACAAAAAACCTGGGCAAGCGCAATTCTGATATTGCTCTATTAGGGTGCTGTGCAGTGAAATAATCGTGTTATTGAAGCTACCTGATATCACTGAGTTATGAAATAGTTTGTTTCTGAGCTCTGGCATTAAATAAAACAAAGCTTCAGCGTTTTGAATGCGTTAATTTATTTGTTTCTCGGAAACCTAAAAAACAAATATCTACATTGCAGTTTGCAATATACCGCGAAAGAAAAAATCATTTGCTTGTTTTTATCACAACTTACAAAGTGAATCGGCGTTTTCAGTATTTGTTGTTCAAATACAGATTTTGATATTGAAGTTTTGGTATCTGATGTGCATATGGCACAAACCAAATTTTCATATTGTTAGCTAGTTTCGATTTTCAGATAGACCACATAGCAAAAATAGTTTGGCAGAGACAGTTGAGTTGAACTCCAGTTGCCAGTTCACACTTACTGGCATTATAAATTAGAATTCCATCCCGATACGTAATAATATTTACATTCTATCTACTCAACAAGCCAAAGCAATGATGTATCACGTGTTTGAGACCCCCCATTAAAAATAATGAAATTGAATTTTGTACTAAAAATTGGGCTTTGGGCATGCATTCCACATAAAAGGCCAAAATTACAGTTCTGTGACTCATTCCGTCTACAATCTAAAGACTCGTTAAAATTAAATTATATATTTTTAATGACCTATTGAAAAGTGTTATTAAATACAATCCTTCAGTTTGAAATATTTTTGTACTTATATATTTGATTTCATATTAATAAATTAAGAACAACAAACAAACTTTTTCAGTTGTATGTTTTCAAACATTTATATTATGTAATCATTATTATTTATAGTTACTATAGTGCTGCACCTTTGTACCCTACATAGGTACTTAGTGGAAAGCAAACACGTGGAAGTCCTACAGAAACTATTAAAAGACCCAGTCATTCAGCAGTGCCGGCTTCGTCGCGACGGTGACGATGATCTGCTCTCCTCGGCATTGCCCGCCCGCCCTACTACCGCCGCCCCTAAGCCGGGTAACAATATTACTACTATACTAATCATCATCATCATAATCAACCTATTAATGTCCCCACTGCTGCGGCACAGGCCTTCACTATGGATAGAATAGGGAGATTGGGCCTTTACCCACCACGCGGGCCCAGTGCCGATTGGCGGGTGCTAACGACTGCAGATGCAGCCGGGACCAACGGCTTAATGTGCCTTCCGAAGCACGGAGGAGCTCGAGATAGTAGTCGGCGACTATTCGGCAAAACATGCCGATTATAATCGGCTCATAACAATGACTCAAAACTCAAAATTTATGCTTGTTTTGAATATTTAAGCAGTACCTAGAGTATGTATTTAAAGTTACCCACAGTCTTAAAATATTAAAAAAAAAGGTAACATAACAAGAATTAGGACCTTAAGAATTTGTCAGTAATTCAGATAACTTAACACAATGAATATCGCACATAACAAAATGGCAATAAGTATGAGTATGAGAAGTAAGTACGTATTAATTGAGTAACATCTTAAGTGCTAGCGAGTCTTAAAGAAGTCCATAGGTATTTTTTTTTCTTAGAGGCAAGTTGTGTGATGTTGGAACATGAATATTTCGGCTGGATTTGGGAGACTCATGTCGTGCGTGAGCAAGCCGAGTAGTGACGAAATATTCCAAACACCTTCTTAAGATAGGTATTAGAATGATCGGCATTGCAGAATAGTCGGCCGATTAGTCGACAATTCGAAAACCGATTAGTCGTCTAGTCGGTTAGACGGCAAATACTATAGTCGGCCCATCTCTATTAATGATCCATAGTGATTTAACGACAAACAGATTGTAAATCTAAAAAAAAATTACTAGAATAAAATCTTTGCGGTCCAGGCGGCAGGCGGGACTCGAACCCGCACCCTCCGCTATTTGAGCATTGCACTGGCAATTCTGCTACCGCAAACTTAATGGCCGTGTCGAATTTCTTCTAGTATTTATTAGGCTGCAAGACGTGAAATTCCCTTTAGATTTAAATATCAAGCAGTTAAATGCTAAAACATTTGAATATAATAAACTAACACTAATTAGTTAGTTAGTTAATGAGCACACCCCAATTTAATAAGTACACTGTGTGAAACGCAAAAGAAAACATGACTGATCAAAATGCATTTGTTAGTTCTCAAATTATTCTGCCTTAGTTTCAATAAGTACAAAATAATTTTATATTGTTTTAAAATGTATTTTGGTATACAGGCAGTCCCCGTACTTACGGCATGTTATGTTCTCGAAATACGTGACGTGAATCAAAGCGACGTAAGTCGAGTTATCCCCACGGACGCCAGCTCCACGTACATTGACCTCGTGACAAGTGAATTCTCCTATGCCGGAAATCGAAACAATTGATGTATGCTTGATGAATAGTGTCAAAATATTGTTCTACGTAACTTGAAACGACGTAAATCGAAATGTCTTAAGTCGAAGACTGTGTATTTAATAGATCCGGTCTAGATTAAAATAATACATGCCGAGATAACTATTTGCTTGTTGCTTGCATAAACGAAACGTGTTGACGTCATAAAAGATGGCAAGCAATAGCTAAAGAAATTAAGTGGTTGTCTTTTCTCAATATAGCTAACATTATTTGCGCAGTTACAAGCTTTTATGAAGTTTACCATTGGAGAAAATGTCGTCGTATAATAGAGTTTTGCCGTTGGACAAAATGACGTGATACCATTATGTGCATAAAGGCGTAATTACACTTGGTCGTTATCCCGTATTCGGGTGCACGAAAGATATTACTCGTGTCCGGACACCCGATGCGTACGGGTACTGGAACACGGGCAAATGACCCTGCACCCGCGCTCTAGTTATAACTTACCTCAGTGATGCCAGGGGCCAATCGCCTAAAGGGGATTGCTATATCTATCGCTGTCGCTTGCGTTTTCATTTTGGTATTTATGACTGCCGAAGGTTTTTAAATCCCCCGTGCTCTTCTTTTTTCTTTTGTATTGGTAACAACAATAAAAAAGAAAATGAGCGTAAGGTATTGGAAAACCTTCGGCGGTCAGAAACCACAAAATAAAATCGTAATCTAAAGCGATAGCCATAGTAATTCCGTTCGGCGTTCCGTTGACCCCCGGATTGGGACCAAAATGAATACACGCGTACTCGACTCCGTTCATTTACACTTAATCATTTGTCCGAATTCCATAGGCGTATCGTATTCGAGCTAACGACCAACTGTAATTGTGCCTTAAGGCGAGTTTTACCGTACCGTAATATCATGATACCATTACATGTATTAGGCGAGGAGCCTAAGCCGGTTGCAAATGGTACTGTGCCCGAAGACATCAGCCAGTTTTACCAGCAACTGGACAAAGATGACGATGAAGATGAAGCTACAGATGTTACTGCTAACGCTGCAGTAGCGTTCGAAGTGGACCCTGATCAAATTGAGGTGAGTAATAAAAACAATTCATCATCATCATCAGCCTATTAATCTCCCCATGTGCTCTAGACATTCATAGGGTGATGATATAGGAATAATGGGGCCATGACCCACCTCGTGGGCCTTGTGCTCATAAATGGGTGCTTACCACTCCAGTCGGGACCAACGGCTTAACGTGCCTTCCGAAGCACGAATACGTTCGAAAGAATATACATTTTAATATATACTACAATAATACATTTTTGGTCACCTATCCTATCTATCCGTGTTTTTGGGTACAAACCATCCAACAATGAATACAAGGATACTACAATTATAGGGTTAAAATATATTTGGATATAGTGGTGGTCGTATAATTAGAAACACTACCGACGGTCCTTGTTATTATGTAAGATACTTTACCGCAATCGTTTTAATTTGAAATTAAACAATAAATAGGACAACAATATGTTCAACGATTTATCATTTATTCGAAAAACAATATAAATCCTATTACACAAGTGCAGTTTTAATATTACATGAAATGTTTGTCACATTTCAATCAGTTTTGAGGTATGAACAATGATGGTCAACTAATTAGAAACAACAACAAAAAGTATAAAAAACTATATTTTGTAAGTATTAGTAATTAGCACATATTGTTATTTACGAAATAGCTACTATCCAGAGCCTACCAATAGTTATAATTAATACTTAGTGGCGTATCCCTTATTTCCCATAACGACACTGCAACGTCGCGGCATTGGTTCAATCAATGTTATACATTTTTCTGGGGGGCTTGAATTTCATGCTTCAACAAATGTTTCATATAGTTCGTTTTGACTGGTGTTACGTTTGTTTGAGACTTTCTTTTTAACAATATACCAGAGCTTTTCTATCGGGTTTAAATCCGGACTATTTGCTGGCCAGTCTAAAATGGATATACGCTATTCGCTAAGGAAGCATTTGTTGCTATTGGCTGTGTGATTCAGGCTGTAGGATCATTGTCATGCTGAAAGATCCAGGTTACAGGCAAATGATCGTCCGAGTAGGGAAACATCGTGTGCTCTAAGATATTTGGATGGATGCTTTTCTAAAATGTTTCTAAATAGGCGTCCAAGCGGCCAGTAACAGAAAATAAACTCCTACATGTGTAAGACTCATTTTTCATTTTGTAATGAAAAGTAAGTTAAACTAGTTAAAGTTAATGAGTTTTTTATTTGAGTGGCTATATTATTGCATGATTATTAATTATTGAATGTGTATATTTTTTACACAACATTTGTACGTTGAAGTTATACATACTTTCATTATTCATAAGACGTGTTTCTAATTTTAAGACCACCGCTGTATATTTGCATCGAAAATATACCTTTGAATGATTGTGTTAATATTCCCAAATTCATTTTACATATTTACTATTATTCTGTTTTGTACAGGTGATACAGAAACGATGCATCGAACTAGAGCATCCGTTACTGGCGGAATATGACTTCCGCAACGACAGCGTGAATCCCGACATCAACATCGACCTGAAGCCCACCGCCGTACTCCGCCCCTACCAGGAGAAGAGCTTGAGGAAAATGTTTGGAAACGGCAGAGCTAGGTAAGTTTAGGTAGCGGCAAACTTCTTGAGAAAATTGTATGACCAGGTCGATGATGACGATGAGGCTGGTATGGACAATATGGTCCAAAAGTCCCCTACAACAAAAAAAAAGAAACTCGCGCAGTATACGGGTTTATCAGATTACAGAGCAAAATGACCTTTTGTTTGTTTGTAGAAAACTATTTGTTACTTGAATTAAATGAATGATAATAGCGAATTCGAATACCCACCATGTAAAGTGCTAGCATAAGACCACGTGGTTGTTTATAAATGATGTCCCCTGGTGAGATGTCGTGAGATTTTATTCAACCCCCTCCCCCATCCCCCAATCTCATGTGAGATTTTTCAATATGTGGGTTTCTTACATAAACGCGTTGGATTGTTATTGTAAAAAGAAAAAAAAATGCTTCGTGCTATTATTTACGATTAGTTAAGACTAGTAATCAATATTGCTGAGAGTTATTTCTTTCGAACGAATTCGTGAATGATCTTAATCGTATTACGATTACGCTTATGATTAAATCTTAAGAGCCCTTTTACTAAATTGCGCCGCTGTCGTACTGATCGGCGCGTAGGTAGATTTGCATTAGTATATATTGCATTTTACGGTTGATGTTTCGAGTCTTATAGAATAATTATTAATGAACTAATTATAAAATTATGTACATATTTCAGTAGTTCAATGATGATAGATTAGTTTTATGAAAACTTGATAGTAATTCTATTTAATTCAATATCAAAATAAGAGGTAAACCTGCATTATTTTTTGCGAAAACTCGCGGAGGTTAGATTTTTTTTTTTTGCTAATTAATGAGATGGAAAATCAGAATTCTAATACATTATGTTACAACAAAAACATATTTCTGATGTCGTAGTAATTAATTTGATCTAATTTATTGCACATTATTGAGAGATTGAGGCGTTTGAAGTTGTGCATATTATCGTTTTTTCACAAATGTGACCAACTGTGACAATGACGGGGGAGGGGTAAAATAATCCCAACATTTGTGTGGCGTACTTTATGGATGACCCCAGTATTCTTTGAAGGTGACTTTAGAAGTATCTCTGAAGTAATTTTTGAACTTGCTGACTCTGTATATAACACTACAGGGAGAAAAAACAGCCCTTGCTGAGTTTCTTGCCGGTTCTTCTCAGTACAAGATTTCCCGCCGTAGTTTTGCGAACAGATGGCGTAGCTTCTTGACCTTCGCAAGTGCTTGTAACAGCCTACTTTGAAAAAATGATTTTTTATATTGATTTTATAATATTACTAGATGTCCCAGTGAACTTCGTACCGCCATAAAAAATAGGGGTTGGTGGCAGATGAGTGAAAATTAAGGGTTGTATGTATTTTTGCATGATGTATCATAAAAAACTAAAAAAATGTCCAAAAAGAAAATTTTAGGGTTGACCACCCATATCATTTAGGGGGATGAAAAATAGATGTTGTAGTTCAGTCAATCTGTAGGTTGAGTGGTGAAAAAAAAACCTAAAGGGTAAGTCTTGTTTTTTCTGTTGCCAAATGACGTCAGTAAGCCACCTTGGCGATGGGCATGTTCAACTCGTAGGCGTTTTTTGAAAAACTCAAAAAAACCCTCAAAAATTTTTTGAAACGCATTTTTCTTGTTTTGTATGCATTTTTGAAGCTTTTTTTTCGACCATAATTGTAGAGGGCGTTGAGCACTACAATTTATATCATTGTTGCAATCTCGTACAACAAAAAAATGCGCATTGTAGGAGGCGCTAAAGTCTCAAAAAAAGGGGTTTTTCACCCTGAAAATATCATTTTGATGGAAAACTAATTACCAACAACTTTTATAAACATTTTTTTTGTATTACTTACAGTTTTCAAGTTATAAATTGCGCAGGTATGAAAAATCCAATAAAGCGGTTTTGGGCAGTTCAAGTACACATTTGCAGTGCACATTTCAATGTACGTTTTACTATTTTTTATTTTAAGTAATTTAAAAAAATTGTTTATACAAAAGTTGTTGGTAATAATGTACGGAACAACTTTTTCATTTAAAGTTTTCCCTTAAAATGATATTTTCAGGGTGAAAAAGTGAAAAAACACTTTTTTTGAGACTTCAGCGCCTCCTACAATGCGCATTTTTTTGTTGTACGAGATTGCAACAATGATATAAATTGTAGTGCTCAACGCCCTCTACAATTATGGTCGAAAAAAAAGCTTCAAAAATGCATACAAAACAAGAAAAATGCGTTTCAAAAAATTTTTGAGGGTTTTTTTGAGTTTTTCAAAAAACGCCTACGAGTTGAACATGCCCATCGCCAAGGTGGCTTACTGACGTCATTTGGCAATAGAAAAAACAAGACTTAAACTTTAGGTTTTTTTTTCACTGAAACGATTTTTTTTTCGACAGTTGACTGTACTATTGTCCGATTCTCAGAACTACTGAATATGCATATAAAATTTCACGAAAATCAGTTGAGCCGTTTTGGAGTAGTTCAATTACGCACACCGTGACTCGAGAATTTTATATATGTATTAGATTATATTATGGTGACAGGTCTGGAGTGATAGTATTGCCTTGTGGAGCGGGCAAGTCTCTTGTGGGAGTGACGGCAGTATGCACTGTACGGAAACGAGCTCTCGTACTGTGCAACTCGGGCGTGTCCGTCGAACAATGGAAACAGCAGTTCAAATGCTGGGCAACTGCTGACGACAGTATGATATGCAGGTACGTGCTTTTCTTTCACTTGTCACTGAAATGTTATTCAATTTAAGACGGCCCTGATTAAATAAATGTTATCGTAACAGATTCACATCGGAAGCTAAAGACAAACCAATGGGCGCCGGTATTCTAATCACCACTTACTCTATGATAACGCACGGTCAAAGGCGTTCTTGGGAGGCAGAGCAGACAATGAAATGGCTGCAGGCTCAGGAATGGGGCTTGGTGGTGTTGGATGAAGTACACACTATACCGGCGAAAATGTTCCGGCGCGTACTCACTATAGTACACTCCCACGCGAAGTTAGGTAAGTTTTTTCTGGAGCCTCTTGACCACTCAGACCTGAGAGGGTAGGCTCAACTAGAGGGCGTCTCTGAGACTCGGATATGTAAGCATTACTCTCTAACAAAGGCCGCTAAAAATGGTTCCTAACTCATGCAACTAATGGCGATTGCACTTGTAATTAGCCCGAATACGAGTGCCAATGGAATTCGGGTAAACCACTAAGGCTCGTATTGCAGAATGACAACTAAGTGTTGATCTTGACTTGAGTAAAGTTAGAAAGAGATGTCGCTATGTATAGCACATATCGACATCCCTTTCTTACTGTACTCAAGTAAAGATCTACACTTTGTTGTCATTCTGTAATGTTATTCGTTACAAATCGTGCATTATATCCCAAATTCTTTTATTCTTGTCGTCGTACTCTTCTTACCAAGCTCGTTCCGTCCTCGCCATCACCTTACACATCCACCAATCAGAAATAGAACTGAAATTTCTCAAAAAGAAACTTTAACCCCACAGGTTTAACGGCAACATTGCTTCGTGAGGACGACAAAATAGCGGATCTCAACTTCCTGATCGGTCCGAAGTTGTACGAAGCCAACTGGCTAGAGTTACAGGCGGCCGGTTATATAGCGAGAGTACAATGCGCCGAAGTGTGGTGCCCTATGACTCCGGAGTTCTATCGCGAATATCTCATACAGAAGTCAGTATTATTCGAATTATATATGAGGAGCTGGCGAACAAAACGGTATAATTACGCATCTGGTCAACCCAACTTTTTTTTACAGTCCGGAGGTATCGGGCCCGTTGAATTTGAATCTCAAATAATTTTCAATCAAAACCGCCTAAGGGCGCGGCGAGAGTGCACTCAGATTCAGATTCTGAAAACAAGCGCGAGAAATAAACAGTGTAGTCTAAGCAGGTTGCCTGCTTTTTCTCGCGCTTTGTTTTCTGAATCTGAATCAGGAGTGCACTCTGGCCGTACCCTTCGACTACACTGTTTATTTCTCGCGCTTGTTTTCGGAATCTGAATCTGAGTGCACTCTGGCCGCACCCTAAAACACTCTTAAAATTACTAAATTTATAAATCATGCCAAAAACTACTGTAGTAGGTATGTCATTCAGTTTTATACAGCTCCTGTAAATTTTAATTTTATGTAATTATACCATTTTGTTCGCCAGCTTCTCATATATCGAAGGCCGGCATGGTGAAGATGGTTGGTTGTTGCATTGTATAACTGCTGTACCAGCAATCTTCGCGTTTGGACTTTATCACCACTTAACATCAGGTGGGGTAGAGTAATTTGCCTACCTGGCTGTATAAAAAATAATAATTATTATTAAACTATGGTTTACCCTCAGAACAAGAACTAGCATAGAAGTAATGCTATGACGTTTGAGCGTACACTCTCATGCTCAATAGATTAATGAAGCGATTTCCAAAGTATTATTATTAGTATTACTATTATAAGGAGTTTGTTGAATTTAAACTGTTTAAAAAAAGCATAATTTTAGTTCTTGGTCTGGGGGCTTACCTATAGAGATAGACATAGAGAAACGACAAACATTCCATCACCAACTGTTAAGTAAAACCTGCCAGATTAGTGTGAGAGATAAGTAGCGAATGTGCGTCCGATAGTTCCTCTAGGTATTGGCTGCACTAATGCTTTCTCTCCTTTTAGAGAGTTATTCATTTCGTGCTAATGTCGCTCAGTCCTTTCTCTATATTTATGGGTTAAATTAATTGTTTCCAATTCTCTTTTTATCCACAGAACATTGTAATGTAATCATTAATGTTCTGTGTGTGTAAAAAAAATGTAATTATGTTATCAATTATGAAGTATGTGTCAAAAAATAAAGTTGTTTTTTGTAGTTCGTATAACTTTTATGTATGATATAAAAGTTATACAAACTACAAAATACAACTTTATTATTTGACACATACTTCCTAATTGATAACATAATTACTATATTTTTTTTTACCTTTACTTATAAATCATATTTTCTGATTTTTGTTTCGATTTCAATAAAAAATCCCCCTAATTATTTCCAATGCTGAGCATAGTCTATTTTCTTATTAGGATCAACAAGAAAATGCTCCTCTACGTAATGAATCCTTCCAAATTCCGCGCGTGCCAATTTTTGGTACGATACCACGAGAGACGCGGCGACAAAACCATAGTGTTCTCCGATAACGTATTCGCTTTACGACACTACGCCGTTAAAATGAATAAGCCTTACATCTACGGGCCCACGTCGCAAAGCGAGCGAATACAGATCCTGCAGAACTTCAAGTTCAATCCGAAAGTGAACACTATATTCGTGAGCAAGGTTGCGGACACCAGCTTCGATTTGCCGGAAGCTAATGTGCTGATTCAGATTTCGTCGCACGGCGGCTCGAGACGGCAGGAGGCTCAGAGATTGGGTGAGATTTAGTTAATTTCATTCATTAATTTCAGCCGTTTTCAATTTTTCAGCTATATAAATTACCTAAAAACAAGAATAGTATAAAATAATAGCTGCATACAAATTACGATCAAAAATACAATAACTAAAGAAAATACAAAATTACAAATAATGTCAACAACAAAATAATTAAAATAAATACAAAATTACAATGTCAACAAAAAATTACAAAATTAAATTAAAAATAATTACATTAATAAGTTATTGCACTTTATTAAATTCTACAAGTACAGTTGTCCAGTTATTACTTATAGGACACTCGGACCTACCCCCTACAACCTTCAAGATGCTATTGTGGCTGTCGTAAACTCTCTTCATGAGAGAAGTAACTGTTTTGCGCATTATTGCGTAGATTAATAAGTTGTGTAAATTTCGTATTCACAAACACAATCCTTCCTATCAAAAGATGCTTTGAGCAAAGGATCAAGTGGGAATGGCACAGCGTTACTAACGAAGAAAGTGAAACATTTGTAATACAGGCTCATTTATTGAAACTGTCGCAAACTATTGTAAACGGCGAACTGGAAACCTGTTGATACCAGTGCCCTTAGCACGAACCAATATCAAATTCGAAAAGTTGAATTCTATCTCGATACGCGTGAAATGTTATGAAGTTTTTGTTTGGTAATTTTAACAGCGTCACAACGGAACGTAACGAAAATGAAAAATCTTCCTAGAAATTTCTTGACATTAGACACGTATCGAGATGGAATTCAACTTTTCGAATTCAATATTGGTTCGTGCTAAAGGTACGTTATCGTTGATCGTCACCAATATCATACATGCCAAATGTTTTTGATGCTCTTCCCGCCATGAATATGGTGTAACTCCATCAAGAATTGAAACTATTTCTAAAACTTAATATCTTATTGATTTGTCAAGAAAAAATCATTAATTCAGAAAATAAACTAATGGCCTCTGGTTTTGTTCACAGGTCGTATTCTGAGAGCAAAGAAAGGTGCCTTAGCGGAAGAATATAACGCTTTCTTCTATACTCTAGTATCACAAGATACGTTGGAAATGGCGTACAGTCGTAAACGGCAGAGATTTTTAGTTAATCAAGGTTACAGTTATAAGGTGATAATTTTCTTGCTTAATATATTTTAACTAACCAGGCTATAAATTTTGATTGAGAAATTTTTTAAGGATTACAGCTAATCTCACTCGATATTTACTCAAGTCAATACTCTATGAGTTTATTGTCTGCCTTTTTATTTTTCCTAAGAACAGATTCGTTGGTCCTTTGAGCAGACTCAACTAATGAAATTAGTCTAACAATTATTTTCCATCTCAATTGTATTTTAGAATGGTAATAATGCCAAAAATCGTAACATCTCTTCTGAGTAAAACATATTTTTATTTATTTTATTAAATACATTAATTAAATTTAGTTGTGTGTAAACTGTACCTTTTGACATAAATTACAACATATTGTGTTGGCAATATCACCACATGCCTGTAGAAAAATCTTGAGAGTGCCAACCCGTCAGGTCAACAGTTACTGCTACACTTCACTGCACTATTATACGTCGCTACTATTTCTGGAGTTTATTTTTTCTGCATCAAGGATGACTAGCATTGCAGCTGTCTTGGAGAACCAAAAGACCATTGAGGAAACACTCATGCAGCGTATGGCCAGCTTTGAAAAACATTTGAAGGCCTCAAATACATCTTCTTCACCAGCTGTAGATCTCAAGGTTCTGAGCACAGAATTCTATGCATTTAAAGACATGGTTGGAGGAATATTGACACTATTTCGACAGCAAATTAATGCCTTGGCCCGCAGCATTGATGATATTGAGGCTAGACACCGTAGAAAGACACTTCTTGTGAATGGCGTGGAAGAGAGTGATGATGAGGATCTGCCCTCAACTATTGTTAATATCTGCCACAATCAATTGGGGCTGAATGATATCACCAAGCTTAGTTTTTCTGCTTGTCACAGACTCGGTACAAAATCACAAGAGCGGTCACGGTCTGTATTGGTACGCTTCACTGAACTGACTACTAAATCTGAAGTCTGGGCCCAGAAGACGAAGTTTAAAGGTTCATCCATAGTAGTGTCAGAGTTTCTAACTCGTCGCCGGCAGGAGTTGTTTGTCGCTGCGCGCAAGCACTTTGGTGTTCGAAGGGTCTGGTCAAATGATGGCATTATTCTCATCAAGCAGCCCACTGGCAAGCTGTGTCGTGTATACGACAGACAGGAATTGGATAAGTTGATCGCGATAAACACCACATCAGTATCACACACAAAGGCGGCCTTGGAAGCAAACTCTAAACCCACTGCAGATTCCCAATCGACCGCTAACTCGAGGCTGGTTACTACAGAGGCAGCGATCAAGGCGACTAACGTAAGATCCAAACGTGTCCTACGAAAGTGAGAACTTTGCGTGTTTATCTCTCATTGTTTTTAATTAACTGGAACTGAAGGTAATTTAATTATTTTGTTCAAAACTTCTAAAGTCTGAGATTAACTTTCTGTCCTGTCATTCGTGTTTTTTGTTATTTTATTTTTATTTTTACCACTATGATGTCAAAGACACGTAGTTCATACAGCCATACTTTTTTTTTTTTTTTCTTTTCTCGATTATTGTTAATAAAATTATATCCACAGAACAGGAACTGTTTGTGAGTCTGTTTTTCGTTTGTGTATTTAGAAGTTTTGTTTTTATGTTTTTTTTTTTGCAGTGTTTGTTTGTTTTTATTTTAATTAATATTGTAACAGTTGACCGGCGGGTTGAGCACATACTCTAGAGTTGTGATTGTTTTGTTATAGTTTTATCATATATATTTCATATTTGAGTTTTATCTTAGTATATTATTAATATATTTTACAATATTAGTATTTATATTTTATAGTAAATTATGTCAGATTATGAGGATGTTGCAGATTTTGAATCATGTGTGAGTTCTGACACATCGTTTCATTCTTTGGACGATGTGCAAGTGGCTGATCATACGTTGGGCAACAAACTTTCCAAAGTATTTGATACTTTTAGGAGGAACTTCAATGTTTGTCACATTAATGCACAGAGTATACCTAGTCACCATACCGAACTGCTTAGCAATTTCACCACTAACACTATTCATGCGGTTTTGGTTTCTGAAAGTTGGTTCAAGCCTTGCCATAGTTCTAAGACTTATGCTTTGCCAGGGTATGCTCTCGTGCGTCACGACAGACTATTGAAGAGGGGCGGTGGTGTTGCCATCTATCTCCGGACTGGCATCCCGTATAAAATTCTTTCTTGCTCCGATGAGCTTGCAAATGGCGTGGAGTATCTTTTTCTGGAGATCTTGGTGTGTGGTTCCAAAGCTGTTCTTGGAGTCGTATATTGCCCGCCTGCTGCCGATTATATTCCATCTCTTACTTCTGTCTTTGACACACTTGCAGCTGATTACGCACATCACATTATCATGGGGGATTTTAATACAAACCTTCTGCAGGACACTCTCGTTTCTCGTTCTCTTCGATCAACCATTGAGTCATACAATTTCTCTTTTCTGCCTCTTAATGCCACTCACCATAACATCGAAAGTAATGACTCATTGATTGACCACATTATTGTTTGGTTTGCTCCTGGTTTCTCCCGGCATGACCTTATGTTCCTCTCTTATAAAATAAAGTCCCCCAAGCCTGTCCCTGAGTTAGTAAAAATGCGGAACTTTGCTCGCCTGGTCCCTGAGTTGTTATCTCGGGATGCATCGACCATTGATTGGTCCAGTGTCTTATCTGCAGCAAAAACTGGAGAAAAGGTAAATGCTTTTAATGCTGTCTTATTATCATTTTTCAATAAACATGCACCAATTCGCACAGTGAGAGTTAAAAGACCTCCTGCACCTTGGATGACTCCACTGGTCCGCATTGCGATGAAGAGACGTGACAGAGCTTTTAGTAAATTCAGGAAGTATAGAACAGAAGAAAACTGGGTCTGTTTCAAGATCAAGAGGAACCGCTGTAATCAGATGGTAAGAGCTGCTAAACGCCGCTATTTCCATGATAATATTCTTCACTCATCTCCTGCAAATATTTGGAAATTTCTTCGGTCTCTTGGGTTGATTAAGTCAAGAAATGTTTCTCTTCCTCACTCTTTTTCTCTCAATGATATCAACCGACATTTCTCAGAAACTTCTTCTCATTCTTTAGGAAATATATCCAATGCTCTCGCAGACATTTCTTCTCTAATTGATCAACCTACAAATATTTTCCAATTTTCTCAAGTGACGGAGTCCGAGGTTCGTAAAACCATTATGTCCCTCAAATCTAAGGCCATTGGGTACGATGGTATAAGTAGGCACATGGTCCTTAATATATTAGATAGTATTCTCCCTATCATCACACACATAATTAATAAATCAATTTCCTCAGGTGAATTTCCAGACTCATGGCGCAAGGCTCATATTTTCATTTAAGACCAATTTCTATTTTGCCATTTTTGTCGAAAGTCTTGGAGGCTACTGTCCATAGTCAACTATCTGCTTTCATAGCTAAAAATCACGTGCTAAACCAATACCAGTCTGGTTTTCGACCGGGTCATAGCACCACAACTGCCTTACTAAAAGTCACTGAGGACGTTCGTGATGGCATGGAGATGTCACGGTTAACGGTTTTGGTTCTCATTGATTTCTCTAATGCCTTTAATGCCGTTGATCATGACATTCTCCTTGCTATACTATCCCACTTGCGAATCTCGTCTCCGGAACTAGATTGGTTTTCATCTTATCTTCTTGGACGTCAGCAAGCAGTTCGAGCTGGCGGTGATTTATCGGATTGGTGCGATTTATCGGCTGGCGTCCCACAAGGCGGTATTCTCTCTCCTCTGCTATTTTCAGTCTTTATCAATCTCATTACCTCCATTCTTCGCAACTCTTACCATCTCTACGCAGACGACTTACAAGTTTACGCTCAAACTGGGGTGAATGACCTGGAAGCTGCCATTGGGTCTATAAATGATGATCTTCAGCGAATTTCGGACTGGTCTCGCAATTTCGGTATTAAAGTCAATCCGAATAAATGCCAGGCCATTATCCTGGGCAGCTCTCGTCTTTTGGCGAAGGTGGACATGAGCTCTGTTGCGTCTCTCTATTTTGAAGGAACCCCAATAAAGTTTTCTCCTGAAGTTGTAGACCTGGGTATACAGATTGACCATTCTCTCAATTGGATAGCACAAGTAGACGCTATAAGCTGTAAGGTGATCGGTATACTTCGGTCATTCTACCAATTCAAAAATTTTCTTCCAATATCTTCAAAAATTCTCTTGTTTCAATCCGTAATTTTGCCCATTATAGATTATGCTGATGTGTGTTACGCTGACATATCTCAAGAACTTCTTAACAAATTGGATCGATTGCTCAACAACTGCATTCGTTTTATTTTTTGTCTCCGTAAATACGATCACGTTTCTGCCTTTCGGAAGAAGTTAAATTGGTTAACAATTCGCCAACGTCGAAATTTCAGAATTCTTTCCACCCTATATTCAATCATTAATGATCCATGTGCTCCTGGATATTTGAAATGTAAATTTCGGTATCTTGGCAGTATCCATAATCTGAATCTTCGGTCTAGCAGCAAACAAACTCTAGCTTTTCCCTCTCACCATACTGGTTTTGTTTCCAACTCATTTTCTCTTCAAGCTATACGACTCTGGAACGCACTGCCTCCTCATATTCAAGATGCTCCGAACAAACTGGCTTTTAAACGCTCCGTACGTCATCATTTATTAGATTCCTCCTCCGCATCCTCCTGATATGATATGTATTTGTATGTATATATCTAAATATATATATATATATATATATATTATTATTTATGTATTTTTATAGATATTTATTTTATGTAGTATATATATATTATCTTGTTTACATAGACATAAAAATATAATAAGTAATTTGATGAATTCTTTTTGCACTACCTTAAAATTTTTGCTAAAATTCTCCGGTTGACTGGTAGAGAATGCCTAATGGCATTAAGTCCGCCACTTGTACATACTTTTGTGCAATAAAGTATAAATAAATAAATATTATTGTGTATTCCTGAGGCGCATTATATGAGTGTTTCATAAAAATAAAACTTATAGGTTATTACGGAACTCAAAGGAATGGATCAAGAGCCAGACTTACTTTATGGGACGCGCGAGGAACAAGGAATGCTACTGCAACAAGTCAGTACATTTTATAACTTAGGCCCACTTGCATCAAAGTTCTTAATTTGAATTTAGAACCGTAATACCCTTATTAATAAACAAGGAATAAACTTAGACTAGTTATGCCGTGTTTTGTTCATGTCACTCAAATGCCTTAAGTCAATCAATGAAGAGAGACAAAACATGGAGTAACTAATCCAACCTTATTCTTCGTTTATTAATAACGGGGTAAATGTTTAAGTCTCATGCCATCTCTATTTGATTTAAAACAATTGACATATATGGAACGATGTACTTATCGCGTTTAAGCCTTAGCCTAGCTTATATAATTTGAATTAAGAACTTTGGTAAAAGTTAGCCTTAATCTTTTATGCTTTAATTTTGAAGTGTGTTTTTTTAATGCCAATACTAATAAAACAATTGCTACCAAATATCAACCACCTATAAAAATATTCTGTGGAAAAGTTGTCACAGAATGCACAATTTAATTATTCTCTGCAATATTCAACTAACTCTTGCCAATTACGCAATATTGCATTAAGCTAACAAAAGTTTGATCATTTTAATTTACCATAACTGGTTTTAAACGGTGTATCTTAAATGAGAGATGAAAGTCTGGATCATTGAAATGTACAACTTTTCTAAATGAAACAATTTAAAAAAGGACTACATTTTAATGAACCGGGCTTTCATTTCTCATTTAAGAAGGAGTCCTCCCGTGTGGTGTACTCGTAATCAGGAGTAATACAGTCTCGCTACTTTCATAGTATTCGCAGACGATATTCACCCGAATGAACACGAGACAAACCGCCTTTTTTCAAAACGTGGACTTAAATTAGTCTTGGTTTAAACCTAATGTCTTCTTTTTAGTAAGCAAAAGTGACAGCATCAGTTTCAGGTTTAACTTTAGTCTACGTTTTGTAATATGATGAAGAGTATCTAAGCTTTCCTGGGCATAAACCCATACACTACATATCGTATTGTCCCTTACCAGGTACTAGCGGCTTCGGAGACAGAATGCGAAGAGGAACGCGAGGGAGGGGTAGGCGGGGCGGGGGGGAGTGGGGCAAGAAGGGCGGGAGGCACTCTGTCCTCACTGGCGGGCGCCGACGACGCGCTATATCTAGAGCGCCGGCACTCCACCAACAAGCACCCGCTGTTCAAGAAGTTCCGATACTGAGCCCCCCGGTACGTACACTCTTATAGCGCGGGGGGAGTACTCTTTCCTCACTGGCGGGCGCCGACGACGCGCTATATCTGGAGCGCCGGCACTCCACCAACAAGCACCCGCTGTTCAAGAAGTTTCGATACTGAGGCCCCCCGGTACGTACACTCTTATAGCGCGGGGGGGAGCACTCTGTGCTCACTGGCGGGCGCCGACGACGCGCTATATCTGGAGCGCCGGTACTCCACCAACAAGCACCCGCTGTTCAAGAAGTTTCGATACTGAGGCCCCCCGGTACGTACACTCTTATAGCGCGGGGGGGGAGCACTCAGTCCTCACTGGCGGGCGTCACCGAGCACCACCACCAGTAGGCATACTTGTTATATTCCACGCCCGATGTAATGGGAATGGGCATCCTCTAGATAGCACAAGAGGGAAGAGAAAATACGTGTCACTCTACCGCAATAAAAATTGGGATTAAATCCACGAATTAAACATCGCGATAATTTAGGCGGCATAGAATGTAGATGGGATGCCTTTAATTTAAACGATTTTACTTCGTTCAGTCATAGTTTGCTTTCAATTCTAATGGTTTATCTGATTGTTAAGTGTAAGTGGAGTTCAATCGTGAAGAAAACTAGTGTGGTAATATAATTGTCATGACTTAAGTTGTTGTTTTTGTTACAGATTGAATACAGATACTCACCTATATGCCAAAAAACTAAGTGTTTATTTAAACTCACGCATTTTATCTTCGATCTTCTAAGTTTAAATTTGATTAACTCATCAAGATAAATTCTGCGAAGTTAATAACCTAAATAGTTAAATGTTGTTAAACAGTATAAGTGAGTCAGTGTTGAAACTACGACACACGAACTGATTTCTCACCGAGCATTCGAAATAATAATAATAACTAAATTGACAACTCTCAGCTTTTTTATTTTCTATTCCCTAGTAAATAAAACCTCAACCGCCTAATTACAAAATGTAGACTTTAGTTAAAGGCTGACCGCTTAACTGAGTCCTCGCCTGCGGGGTAAAGGTTAGGGGCCGTTCATGAATCGCGTGATGTTTCTTTTTTGGTATTTTTAACCGCCCTTCCCCCTTGGTGATACATGGTGAGGTTTAAGACTATCCCCCACCCCTATATAACGTGTATTTTTTTGTATCTACAAAGAATCATATTTTTGTAATATTTATAAAATACAGGTTATAAGTATTATCTAATTTTATTATAAAAAATTAAAGGCTACAATAATAACGTTTAGGGCTCTTTCAATTTATGCGTTTCTTGACGGCCTGCTGCGGTGTGAACGCTGGACAACAGTCCTGTTGTCCAGCGTTCGCGGTACCGGCGCCGCACTGTTGCCGCACCGCGCGTTTTGTATGAAAAAAAAGGATCGCTGTACGACAAACGCACTGCTTCGGCACCGCAGCATGCCGTCAAGAAACGCATAAATTGAAAGAGCCCTTAGAGTTAGGGACAGAAAGATTGCAGATTGTTTTTGACTAACATAAAAATTATGATAGAAATGCGATAAACACTTTTGTACTAAATACATGAACATTATTTAATGTACAGTATCCTCGGACCACGGAAATACACGTGAAATATTTCTGCACCCCCCCCCCCCCCCCCTTCGAGCCTCACGGGATTAATGGACAGCCCGCGGGCGAGGATTCAGTTCTCAGTTAATCGGTCTACCTAAAGACTTTTTTTATCCTAATTACTGCCTTTATCTTCTCGGTAGCAGCATGATTTTCATACTGGGTTTAACATTAGTCAACTTTTTGTAATAAGGCTTTCAACCCTGCTTAATTTTTGCCTAGTGTCTGATCAGTACAAATTTTACTTTACTCTACAGTAAAACGGAGACTGAGAAGGGTGTTCCAGAGTGGGCTATTGTGGAGTTGCAAGGTTTAGTTCAGACTAAGAATGAGTCCACCGGGCCCACTTTGGTCGGCGACATCAACTACTTCAACAGAAACCGCCATCCAGTTCTCGTGCTAGGCCACCACATCCTCAACGGCAAGGAGACTAAGCTGGACCAACCTATGGCGGTCATAGAAAAAGTAGTCGTCGAAGGCAAACCAAAGTATTGCGTCAGAGCCGTTGTCAAGAAGAAACTCTTATTCAAGTCGAGACCGAAACCAATTATATCGAATGTCGCTGAAAAAATATGATGTGTAAATAAATGAATTGTTTGATTACGAATGATTGTCGTTATTTTTTATCCAGTCACTACACAAGAACTATTTTCACTATTATAATTTTATTAATAATAACAGCGTGCAGGCGAGGATGTTGTGTCTGCGTAAGGTCAGAGTATTTTAGGGCCGGATTTAAGTCAAGGCAGGTGGGGCTATGGCCGAGGCATCCCCCACAAAACAGCGATAAAAAATAATTAAATGACGGGTCACTAACTTAACTGCTTTTTCGCTTGTAACTTTTTTCGCATTTTGACCTTTAATTGCAGGGCCGGGGTGTAAATCGTAAGTGGCCTAGTGTATCAGATTTTATTTAAACGTACGCCCAAGTTAGAGGCCTCAACTACTTCGTTGCTCAAGGGTCTCCACATCTTTTTACATTCGGCCCTGGAGAATTTGCTTCTGTAGCGTGCGCTTTTAAAAATTTCGGGCAACAAATGTTCGCACACCGTGTATTGAATCCGTGGCAAGTTCTCATCGTATTCAGAATAACAGATGAAATATCAAAATTAAAATCTTGATCAGTGAACCGATGTCATGTTTGTGTGAAATTTTTACTTTAATTACTCGGAAAACGTAAGATTTCATGATATATTGATATATAAAGAAAATATAACTAGAAAAAATTCCACGCGGACCAGGCAGCAGACGGGACTCGAACCCGCACCCTTCGCAATCCGGGCGAATGCACTGACCAATTATGCTACCGCGGCCCTCACGAAATTTTTTTCTAGTTATATTTTCTTTAGATTTAAACATCAAGCAGTTACATGCTTTAAAAATAATAAAAATTATATTGATATATGCTCAAATTTTAATAAATAGCTCAAAATTATACATAATGATCCAAAAAAAATTTTTCTGATTAGAGTTTTTTTCATTATTAATTTGCAGTTTCTGAGAACATTTACCATAGTAGTGTATATTTTTTATACCATCAGAAAGTAGAGATTTCAACAAACAAAAAACACACCAACTTTTTTTAAAAAGCAGATATTTTGACGTGAGAATTTTCGATTGAAAATTAGGGTGCTTTTTCGATATTAAGTCAAAATAACGTGAAAAAATGAATATTTTAAATCAAAAAAATTACTGTATGTTTGGGACATACAAAGGTAAGTTTTCACATTTTTTTTTTTGCAAATAATAAAAATAAAAAACCAAAAACTCGGTTATTCGAATTTTTCACATAAATTTTGAGGATATGTGAAAAAAATGTCGATATCAAAATTGTAGACCTTTTTATTACCTACCACTTTGGCATTTTTTTTTCATAGGACTGGCAGTTTTACCGGAAATCGAGATTAACCGTTTTTTACCCTTAAAAACTCACCCCCTCCCCCTTCCCGACCTCAGATCGCCCATAATTTATTTTTCCTTTCATTTTTGTTATATTCCTTACCTTTTCCTAATATAAGGGTTTCATCCTACTATAATTTTTTTTGGTCTCAAAAATTATCGACCCTGGTCTATACGTAAAGAGATCAAATTCGATACTGATTCTTGCTTAGAATCCTCGGCAAAGTTTCGCATTCTGAAAACTGAAGAAAACGATTATTTGGACGCAGACCTTGATTTCGATCCGTGTGTCGATAAGGAAGCGTCCGCTATTTGAACGTAATTGAAATAAAATATAAAATGCCCAAGTGATCATTTATTAAGACACAAAGTAAGATCGAAATATTACACGTCCATTTCATTTTTTCAAAATATTCATACTAACTCTTTTTCTATCCAATGGTACAATACGATTTCAACTGCTCTAAACCCTGGATTATATTAATATTAGTTTATATCCCTAAGGATACCTACTTTAAGAGTGCTTTAGTGCCTATTTTTTTTTAATAATTTTGATCGAGTCCCTTCTTACAAAATAGTAACTATAAAATTTATTCTCTACTGCGCCAGTGATATATAGAATATATATCACTACCACTGATATATTTTCTGTAGGAAAGGACTTGATTGTAACATTGTCAACAAATTGTTGACTTATTTGGAAAATACAAAGTAACGACACTACATAAATCCTGGTCTCAATAGAATATTATTCTTATTAACACTAATTTCAACCAACATAACATTCACACAAAGTTTTATTAATTAAAACAAATGTTGACCATTTATTCGATTCTGTAAGTTTTTCAATATGTGCAATAGACGTGCAACATTTTACTGGTAGTTCAAACTACACCTATACATTTATAAATTTACCTAATAATTTGTATTACTTAATAGTTTAACATAATATTTATTTACATTTTAATTTTACTCATAAAATACATACTAAAGACTTGAATGACCAACTTAGTAACAATAAAATTGTAGTTCACTGTCTGCATGTAATGTAATGATGGCATTTCACTTAGCTGTTCTTGTTTGCTATATGTAAACTTGACATCATTCTTTCATTTTCTATACTCTTACAACATGATAAGGACAGACTGTTATCACAAATAGCCAAGTGAAAGTACCGGCATAACAGTCGTATTCAATTCTCATTATTTTCAATTTTCTTTACGAAGCAACCCTACTCCATTTATTATTTGTATGCAGAAATTCTATTAAATGAAATTATTATCGATTACAATATAAGGATCAAATATTCATATTCATACTCATGTGCTATATTAATGCCTTGCATCACAGCGAATCTGTTTCGTAAAAATAGATTATTATCATGTAATATATATTATGATGTTCTCACGACACTCTTACGGTTTTACCAAAGGTGTTAGTGACCATGAAAGTTTAAAACAATATATTACCAAAGGTTTGTTTTCAATATCCGGGATTTTAATTTATAACGTGAGCTGAGGGCAGTAACATAATAGTCATGTATTGGTGCCTCGATTTTTAACATACAGGTATAAGAATAGATATATATATAGTAAGGGGAATATGTACTCTACTACAAGTGGAAGTGTCCCTCTAGTAGAAAGAGAAAGAAGATGAGAGACGGCACGCTATGGTTGGTTTCCAACTACAGAGCATAATGCGACTCAGTGCCGCACAATGCCCAATTATGCTGATGCTTAATTGGAACGTGAATTAGTTTTCAAATGCACCAGCAGAGTGCGCTAAGTTCAGTGTTGAAAAAAAAGTCAATGTTTGTACCTTCATCCATACTTATATTTATTTTTTAACAGTTTGAATGAACTTTGATTATTTAAAAAAAACTATTTAATGAAACGAAAGCTTTAATAATTTTAACAATAAATAATATTACTAACGATAACATATAAATAAAACATTTCGATCAATGCTTAACTTAAAGAAAAAACACTTGTTAATTTTCTGTCTCTAAGTTGGTACCATTGCACGCATCACACGAAAGCATCACTTTTGAGTGCTCAATTGTGCGAAGCGTTGCTGTAGTTGGAACACTCAACGTTAAGCATTATGCCGCATAATGCGCAATAATGCTGTAATTGGAAAGCAACCTATATCTCTCTCTCTCTTTTGTGACGCTGCGCAGTCGTGCGATTGGTCGGTATTGCTGTGTAGTCGTGTGATTGGTCGGTATTCGTCGGTCGGAGAGAAAGGCTAGCCTTCTCTCATCTTCTTTCTCTTTCTACGAGACGGACACTTTTAGAGCCGCCTTCCTCACTCTATTCTTATACCTCATGGGTTTTAACCAGTAAAAGTCACACAGTTAAGTGACATGCTTTCACAGCTTGTTAACGCCGTATATTGCTATTGTACTGTATGGTAATTTAATTATTGTAACCATATCGCAAATCACTAAATTCGTAATGGAAGTAAAAAAAACAAATATACGTACTTTTAAAATTAAAAAGTATGTTGCACTATCTTCTATTCTGCTTACATGTTCAAGTATACGTATCTAAACTATAACAAGTAGGGAAACAAAATAAGAAAAGAACAAAGGAAATAAATTTTACAATCAATTATATGTATACCTGTGTATAATGGTTTTTACTTGAAAGCGTTCGATTCAAAATATCATTAAAGGTTCGACATAATGATCAGATAAATATACAAACTTCAAGTTTGAACTAAACCACTAAGGTTGTTAATAGATTGGAGATTGGAGTTACGTAGATGCTAAAGAGCTTCTGTGGGTACATTCGTAGATGCAAGAAGCGGTTTCATTCAATGTCGAGATTGTGTGAAGCTTATTATTATATTTGGATCAAGCTCAAGCAATAATCGCAAAGTGCGTTAACCACTTTCGATTTTCCATCGTGACACGACAAGGTCAATAACAAACTTAGAGAATAAAATATTGCATTACTTGAAAGTTTAGAGTGTACAATTATACATAAACGTAAGTGTTTCAATCCAACAATATTTAATTAGTTATGGTCTTTTGGTTTCAAGGAGTAAGTATTTTTTGTGTAAAGTTACTAACCCAAAATTATATTATGATGATGAAAGGCACTTTTTATTAGGTAAGTAGTAATGATAACTAGAAGGAAATAAATTATTGCTATTCTTATATCTTATGAGAACTAATAAAATAACTACATAATAATTATAAGAGAAAAAGTAATATAACAGTCAATTTCGCGTCAGAAAGGAATGAATACTCTTAAAATATATATTTTTATTTGATATTGTTAGCCACTCCTTTACCAAGTGTATCTCATTATAGAACTTTGGCTGTTGAAACAAGATATCTCGCTCTAAATTATAAACTCATAACATCTAAAACAAGGAGATAAACAATTTTATCTATAACATAACATAATAATCTATGACTAAAATCTAAATCTTTTAGGTGTTTACAAAGACTGCCTTATTTTTGGATAAAGCTACACCAATGTGTACTTACATTCAAGGCAGAAAATGAAATTAAAGACAAAAAGGTACAAAACAATGTTTATAAGACAGTCACCATAAATAAAGCGGTCTACATTTTATTAATGATTAATTTCGAGTCTCGCAGCTGTTCCCAGTACTAGTACATTGCAATTACTATATTATATTGTAACCAGAACGTTTTAGACCTCTTCGATAACTGCAGGGGGAGAACATTGTCATACAAACACGTAGTCTTTCTTTTCTAAAATTTCAACAGAAAGCAAATATATTTGCCGTATAGCAAAATACCTACTACAGGTATTTTATTAATAAGTTATTTTATTACTAACAATTTCTTTGAATTTGTCAATGACTGCACCAAATATAAACCTATGTTAAGAACCCTGACATATCCTATGAAGTATAAAACCCATCATAGATTTGAAAGAATACCAGTTATTCCTCTTCTGGCATTATGCAGATTTTGTGAACGGGCGCAAACGACAATGTGTAACATACATTCGTTATAGTGTGTAGTATTATACCTAGAGTATTATGAAACACGAAATTCATATAAGTATTTTTTTTGTTATTATTAATACTTTTAGCGACATAAAATTATTGCAACCCCTTTTTATTGTTTGGTTGAGGACATAAATGTACAGCTCACAATGTGATAACGTTGGCAGTATTGGTCTCATTTTTCATCTATTTGTTAGTCCAGCGGAATTGACGAAACACTTCCGGGTGCAATGGACAATAAAAACACACGTGCTTGTAACAAAGCTTCTATTTAACCATAAAAAGATTATGGAGACCATACATCAAAAATACGGCATTGAAAAAAACACAAATCCCTTGGAAGTTATTAAATACACATGAACTTTTTTGACTAATATAGTACTACTGACATGAACAGTATCCTAATCGCCAAACGGTGTTAAGAAATTACCACTATCAGGATGCCAAAAATATATTAATGTGAATGTTCTTTCACAAAGTCTTTCGCGTTTTCACAATTCATGATTTGGTTTTGTGTACACTCCAAAAACACGAATATTTACTCGAATACACATTGAAAGGGTTAAATATTAACCTCGACCGAAGTGTTTCCAATTTCACGTTTTAGCATTTACAGTGGCAATGTTACTGAGAATTTTGGATGGACGCCTTGATAGCTTGTTGGCCTTCCGCGGAGGTCCAATAATTAACCATGAGGCCTCGTTCTGTCTCCAAATGTGACAAAAATACGTCAGCTGACGGTTTCTTGAGTCCAAGCAACTTCTTCTTTAGTAGGAGTGCCTGAAAAGTAATGATTGCTTTTAGAATGTTGATCTAATGGTCTAGTATCGACACCTCTCAACATTTATAAAAAAAAAAGAAAAGCAGCTCATACCGGGGTGCCTACCGCCTATCGAGATTACTTTGGCTTTTACTTATCATTTGTTATTTCTGACCGCGGAAGGTTCTCAAATACCTCACGTTCATTTTCTTTAAGATTGTTATTACCAATGCAAAAAAGCGCGAGATGTTTTTGAAACTCGCCCGAATGTTGGTAAGGATCTCGCCTTGGGAAAGAGAACCGAGTCTCTTTGCATACCCCGTTCGGGACATGCGTGTGTGTAAAATAAAGCAATTTGAGTAGTGTTAGTCGTCTATAACTTCAGACATATCGAGTAAGGTTACCCTTATCTAACACATGATGACCTATTTAGCTGATACAAATGTCAATAAATGAAACAGACCGCGTTAAACACACTCAAGAACTCATGTGGACGATTAATTTGTTATTTTTATTCATATCAGTCGCTAATAATTATGGCAGTACAAGTGATGAAGAACCAGTTTTATATTACTATGGTATAGTAAGTATCGCGAGAAAAGTATAATTGTTAATAACTAATAAAAAATATTTCGAATGCTATTGTAAAAACTTAAATTGTTTGTAGCTTATAGTAATATATGTTATTTACGGGATTGTTACCATGTATAGGTAGTAACAATTACTCCGTGATCATGGCACTTGCAACAGTGCCGAAATATCGGAAATTCGCTAAAAACAAGGTACATGGAACAATCCCGTTAATAACATATATTACATAATGTTAGTGACCATGAAAGTTTAAAACAATATATTGTTTATAGCTTATTCTATGCTTATATCATAAAGATGTTAAGTTTATTTTCTTCTAGGAAATAACTTCTAGAACGACTGAACCAATTTTTAATACATTTTTCACCAGAAAGCTACATTATTTCTGAGTGTCAAAGGCTCACCCGTCGTTAGAGTTGGCATTTAGGATAGTGGATACAAGGAGGCACACATGCTGTATGATAGGAAGCTACGAGGGATAGAGACGCTTCTGACGCAGTCTTAGAAAGACAAATATAATGTACCTAAAACATTATACATTATACTAATATAATGTACCCAAAAACTTGATTGAAAACGTGCGTAAATCGTCTTATCTGAACAAGGTATATCTAAGGCTACATCAAAAGCGTCTCTGGCCCATGTAACTGCCGTGTGCAATTATTACCCTAGCTCCCTCTAGTAGACTTAATGTTGCTAGTGTAGTCAGCAAAATGTTTCGCAACATTTATCCCGAGATATTTCACGTAGTTATTGCGCGTCTTGTGCCGCAATGTGTTGCAGTATTTGACCCGTAATGTGTTCGAGCCTTAACTCACTGCTCAGGCCTTGTGACCTTACTAATTTTTGATGAACAAAATAGGATCATTCTCAGTAGATCCATTGACTAGAATCATGATGGATCTGTATATCAGTACTCATTTCAAATTATTCAAAATATTCTCTAAAACATACACTCGGCGTCAAAAAAATCGCACTTCCCAAATCAGGTCACAGATGTGACTTTAAAAAAAATGCCAATTTTGCTACTCAAAAGGGCCACTAGTTGCGCTACCTTTAATGGGTATAAAAGAGTTAATACGATTAAGAATTAATATTGGTGGGGTTAAGGGTTGTAATAACGTTTCAAAGTTATTTTCGCGGAGGTGCGATTTTTTGACGCCGAGTGTAGGTGAGAATCATGTGATCGTGTCACGTGGGATCCCACCACCATCACTTGATTCTTGTGAGTTGTTTTTATAATATGAATATGAAGGAGGAGAGCGAGCGCGGTCTTCCAACGTGCTCGGGTCGCGTGGCGTGCGCGGTCGTCCTGCAGCGGTACTGGCGGCCGGACGCACTCGTGCGACTGTGCCGCTGTGGGCGCCGTAGACGATGCGACTCGCGCGCACCCACAGATCATCGCGTGGAGCTCAACAACCGCGCGTACTTTCAGGTCAGTATTATTATCACACTATGGTCATAAACTTGTTCTATTGCAGCGGTATTGGCGGCCGGACGCGCTCTAGCGACTGTGCCGCTGTGCGCGCCGCAAACGATGCGACTCGCGCGCACCCACAGATCAAAGCATGGAGCTAAACAACACCGCGTAATTTCAGGTCACTATCATCATTATCACACTATGGTCATAAGCTAGTTCTACTGCAGCGGTACTGGCGACTGGACGCGCTCGTACGACTGTGCCGCTGTGCGCGTCGCAAACGATGCGACTCGCGCGCACCCACAGATCAACGCATGGAGCTAAACAACACCGCGTAATTTCAGGTCACTATCATCATTATCACACTATGGTCATAAGCTAGTTCTACTGCAGCGGTACTGGCGACTGGACGCGCTCGTACGACTGTGCCGCTGTGCGCGCCTAGAAGACTTCTTTTAGAAAAAACAAGTCTTAGGAGGGAGTCCTAATGGACTAAACTCTGGTAAGACATTTAAGAGTCCACAAATGTTTGGTTAAAAGAATTAGGTAATAGGTTTCGAAAATATCATAAAGAATGATTAGGAAATTGAATTTAATATTTTATCTAGATCCACTGAATAGGGAATATGCATGCAATACAAAAAAGGCTCTAGTTATTTGTATATAAACTCTATTACTTTTCAATTGCACCCCATAATTTATTTTATAAAAACTGTCTTTGTACGAGAAATTAATTATTGAAAAGTGCAAAAATTCAAAGGGCGGTAGTGACGTAGTAATACATAACAACAAATAACCAAACAAGCGCCATGTTCACAGGATATGTCAAAGTCAACGATACCTAGTGCACTAGGTAGTGAATAGTGCGCGCGCACCTAACCTTCTAATCCTTGTTTTGTTGCTAGGTTGTTATAGTGTAGTGTTTGTTTTTAAACAGGGCGTGACACTGACACACGTAGGACAGCTGTTTTGTCTATGATAGCGAACCGCTTACGTCGGCGTAGCTGTCAAACTTCATTGATTGGGTTGGTAGCCTTGAGGGAATAGTCGATTTTTCTATTCGACTAAAATATTCGCCTTGAGACTTATAAAAAAAAAAAAAAAAGTAATCAGGCAGTGAATCTCTGTGGGGGCGCGTGGATGAATGGATGGAGTTTGACAGTTGTTGAATTTTGAATAGTTTTTCCCATATCGATTTGAGTCCTCCTTATCGGGCGCTGTTTTTAATCGATTTTGAATTTTACTCGAAATTGAATTTCCTCGCTGATTTGGGTAGGTATTCCCTTTTCCTCAGCTTACGGCGAGCGTAGGTATATAGTTTTGAGTTTATTCTTCGGTTCGTCTCGAATGCGGCGGCTGTCTGTTTGACTGTGGCCTTTGCCTTCAGTTGGAGTGAGAAACAAATCATAGACACATGTTTGGGAGTGGACGACCCGTCTATCATCTATGAGCAATTGTCAAAACAACATTTAAAATTTCACAATCTGTTTGTGGTACAGTTATCTTTTCTTCTGCCCAAAGTATATTATAAGGCATATTATAGTCGTCGGAGTCGTGAAATAGATCCGAAAAGTTTATATCCTGAAGGATATTGGCGGAAATAGCGCGGAGTCGCTAACCGAACTGAGTTTCGCAGGTGGACGAACACGAACCTTCGCAAGGCGTTGCAATAAGGCAGTAACTTGTGATAGGAAACAAAATACTTACGGATAGTTTCATATTTCGAACGGCTTGTACGTTCCCCTCAAGAAATACTGGAGGAATAACAAGGAGACTCTTTCTCTGTACACGGACCAGAAGGGACGCGGGAGTTTATTTGCCAGCCGCTCTCCGGTTTTATGTAACTCGGCCGTAACAGCGGACAGATCATACCCTGCTAAACCTATCCTAATCAAGGTATTTCACTACTAACCCCGGGTGAGCGTGGAGAAGAACCACAAGGCGAGGTTGGACCCCGACCTACCCATTTCCATATATATACATATATCTATATAACTGGTTATCTCACTGAGAACTGGAATTAACTAAGTTTGTCACCAATATCGATCAAACGAGCCGTAGAACCTCTGAAATCCACTAAATAGCTTATTCAGTCTAGTCTATGTGGTATGTGTGGATAAAATATATTAGATATAGTTGAGAACTCATGTAAGTGCATGGTAAAGTGTTATGAATGTCTGATATTCATATAATTATAACATCTCATGACAACTTGTTGGTTTATATACACTAACTTTGAACTACTGTATTCAGCTTAGATATTTATAATAGGCTAGTTGACCCTTTTTGGAAAAAGGTTTTAAATGGTTAATAAATGTTCTATTAGACCGAAAAAAAATGTATTGTATTTTTTTGAGACCTAGAAAGCTACAAATCTTTATTTTTAAAATAGACTTTTCATGGACATACAAAAACGCTGTCGGCCATTTTAGTCTATAGATTATCTATGCTATGACGTTGACGGTAGTAAACAAAAACTCGTAAGCACGTAGAAAATAACCTATCTGAGTTTATAATAAAAAGAAAACATGATTTCTAATAGATACCACGAAAAATATAGTAATTATCATTATTGTATTGTACGAGAATGTAAAAACACATCCTTGAAGACTCCAGGAAAGTTGTGGATTAAAGTGCCGAAAGAAATTAACCTACGCAATACCTGGTTGGAACTTGCTAAAAGTGATCCTGCAACTTTATCGACTCATAGTAAAATTTATTTTTGCGAAGATCACTTTGATGTAAGTACTCATTGAATAATATTTTAAGTCTCTTCATTTATTATCAGTTTTAATAATAAAAGTTTTAAAGTTATGTTATTCACAATCATGGCGGATGTGGCGAACAGCGTTTTTAGTGTTTAAAAAGTATAGACTAAAAATATTTTTTTTAAATTAAATTCCTACAACAATCTTCTGCTTTTATGAAGTGAAATCGATATATATAGGTTCCTTACACCAAATACTTTAAGACAGCTATACTCTAAGTGTGTTCCGCGGAACCCTAGGG